CCATCTTCTATCTGCCTCCCCCTCTCTCCCTATTTATTTCGGAATCCTCTTCCTCTCCCCCATTTCTGAAGAAGGGTCTAGACCCAAAACATCAGCTTTTCTGCTCCTCTGATGCTGCTTGGCCTGCTGTGTTCATCCAGGTCTACACCTTGTTATCTCAGATTGTCCAGCATCAGCAGTTCCTACTATGGCTGTACAGATACAATGGCTACAAGAACAGGTCAAAGGTTGGAACATCTACAGTAATAACTCACCTCTCGACTCTCCAAACAAACTGGGGGTGAGCTTGGATAGTGGGAGGAAACTGGAGCACCTAGGGAAACTCATGCAGACGTGGCGAGAATGTGTAAACTCCACACACAAAATCGCCCGAGGCTGGGTGTGTGACTAGTCGTGTGACTTATAATGTGAGAACCTAACTGGGACATCTGTGTTGCTGCCAGTTTCAGTAAAGTGACAGAAAATTTAAGATTGCTGTTTTGAGGACTCGTAACATGGTGATGGAAGAGTAGCTGAGAATGAATGGTGGCAGAGACATAGAAATGTTCAAAGCTGCAAAAGCTACTACACGCAACTGAAAGAAACTGAAGAAGAATAAAGAAACATGCCACAGCTGAAACATTGTATAAGGCATAATGAAGCAAATTTTCCTCTCCCAGGATAGGCCTAAAAGAAAGATGGTATGTAATAAAACTGGCAGTTTTTTCATATGCCTGACACAATTCTATGATTCCAATAGATCTACTTAACAAACCAGAATAGCTAAGAGTAGGCATGCTTTTATTACTTTTGGGAAGAGATTGTATAGAAGTGTACCCACCCAGATGTTCTCAGATTAATGTAAAATAACAGATACATGAAATTTTGGAAGCCCTGAAGACATGTTTTGATCTCCAAGTGATTTCACCTTTTTGAGTGCTCCATATTCATTAATTGGGCCCAATGTGAACAAGAGTCCATTGGTTGATAAGCAATGACATAAATGTAGCTGACAGTATCTTGTGACTTTGCTTTACTAAACTATGATTTAATTAACAGCAGGTTTGTATTGGGCATAAGAGATCCCACAATGAAAGTAGATGCACTGAGAGAGGAGAAATCTACTCACAGGAAATCAGTGAACATGTGCAAAAGCACTGAGGTTATAAATCAACAATTAGAGCAGAAACATGGTAGAACAGACCAGGTTTTGCATTATACTGATAATTTTTTCATGCAAAAAGGATAGAATGATTACAGAAAAAGGGCAGGATGCAAACATTGCAGAGGACAACCCACAAAGGAAAAGAAGGCATGTATGGGAAGCAGTGTTCTCACTGCACTAAGTTTTGCACTCAAGCATAAAACTACAAGAAAGTGCAACAAGCAAGTACACGTGGTTATGGCAGTGATATCAGCTCAAGAGTCTAACAAATAACTCTACATCATACAACAGGGTTGGTTCAGTCAGGTTGATGTGTGAGAAATGGTTTGTGACTGTTGGAATCAGCATGGACTGCAGAAGGAGTACACCATGTCAATAAAAAGTGTCAGATTTACACTGGTGCATCATGAAATGTCATGATCTCGACAGATGTATGATGTCCTCTAACGTAGTGAAGATAAAGTGAAACCCTTGAAACTAAGGATGAGGCTATGTGAAAGCACTACACTTGTGCTGAGAGAATAGCTGACTGATAAACTAATGCATCATGGATGGCAAGCAAAGGCTACTCATCTTAGCTGGAATGAGTCTAAAACTTGGATTAGTGCCCTCAACATCTCTAAAGAGATTTGCAACATGTTGCAGGGCACTCAACATTGACTGCAGAACCAATCCTAGAGGGGTACAATGGCTTTACAGGGTTAGAATGTCTTCCTGGAGAATGTTATTTCAAATTAGATAAAGGTATAAGATGAATTCAGCATTGCTAAGGAAAGTTCCAACTGCTCGAAAGACCAGGTAGAAGATCTGGAAAAGAAGAGAGTAATTAAGAAAATTACAACTTCTGCAGATTAGGGCTGCACGGTGGCTCAGTGGTTAGCACTGCTGCCTCACAGTGCCAGGGACCTGGGTTTGATTCCACCCTCGGGCGAATGTCTGTGTGCAGTTTACACGTTCTTCCCGTATTTCTTCGGTTTCCTCCCACAGTCCAAAGATGCACAGGCCAGGTGGATTGGCCATGTTAAATTGCCCGTAGTGTTCAGGGATTGTGTAGATTAGGTGGTAATAGGGGGATGGGTCTGGGTGGGATGCTCTGAGGGTTGGTGTGGACTTATTGGGCCAAAGGGCCTGTTTCCACACTGTAAGAATTCTATGAAAAAATGAAATTAGACTAGCAGTATGGTAGCAGTGAAACAACCTGGTAAACTGTGAGTATGCAACAACCAAAATGATCCAAATAAAGCTCTAAGGCGTCCAAGCCAACTATTGAAGAACTTTTGCCACAACTTGTAAAGGCAAAAATCTTCACTACTCAAGGTGCAAAGGATAGTTACTGGCAGGTGAAGCTGGATTAAAGCAACAGCTCTCTAACTACAGGAAAACCCTTCAGGAAATACTGATGGTTATACATGCAATTTTGCATTTCCATGGCTCAAAAGGGTGTTGACATAGACAATATGAGATAGTGATCCTCCTGGAGTGGAAGCTTTGATAGGTGATCTATCTTCAGCTCAAGAAAGAGTGTTTGCTTGAGAACATTTTTATCAATATCTATTTGAAAGGACATGTAACAATTGAGTCTGACCACAAGTCACAAAGCATTTTGCTCAAGCTGCTACTATCTACTGTAAAGTGTCAGCAAAGAATATTATTGTAATTACAGCCTAACCATCTGGATGTGACATATGAGCAAGGGAACCAAATGTACATTGCTGACATGTTGTCAAAAGTAACTCTTGCTATGAAGAAATTGGATGATGCTATGACAGGGTATGAAATCTTTCAGGTACAGTATGAAGCAACATCTCTACCCACTCTGGAAGTCATCAACCCAGCAAAAGGATTAGCTTTAACAGATGAGCACCTTGCTCAAATCAAGTGAACTACGCAACAAGATACAATTCTCCAAGTGTTGCAAGAAGTCATGAAGAAAGGATTGCCAGGAATTAAGAATACAGATATGAATTGATAGCCCAAGATGGCTTTTTGTACAAAGGAAATAGAGTAATTATTCTGAAGGATTTTAAAGGACAGATGCTAAAATACACCCATACAGGCCACCAAGGAATTGAACCAAGTCTGAGGAAGTTAAGAGATGTGTTCCACTAGCCAAACATGAGCAAGGAAATCAAGGACCACAATAGCCAGTTCAGTGCTTATAATATGTATAGTTAATCAAGCTATAGAGTTGCTGATGACCCATTACACTCCTACAGACCATAAAATTGGAGGTAGACCTCTTCTTTCTCACAGGAACTGATTATCTTGTCACCATAGATCACTGTTCTGACAAATAGGAGGTGATCCAACTGACTTCAACAAATACTAATGAGATTTACAATGCCTGTATGCACAATCCAGCCATTACAATGTTCCAGACATTGTGAGGAGCAATAATGGCCTTCATTTCACAAGTCAAAAATTCAGCCAGATCATAAATGATGGAAAAATTTAACACCAGACATAATCTCCAAACTATCCCAAGCCAAATTGAGAGGTTGAGGCAGCAGTGAAAATTGCCAAAGAAATCATAAATAAATCAAATCCATCACAGATGTATACAAAGCAATCCTGAGTGGAGAAAATAATTACTGAAGGCATGGAAAGTGGTCCAGTACAAAGGCTAATGTCATGCCACACTTAAATTACCCTTCGAATAGCAAAAAAGCTACTGAAGCCAGAAGTAGTACCAGGTGTGAGTGACAACATTGGTGTGAAATCTTCTAAGTCTTTGCCAGAGTTGAGCATTGGAGAACTGGATACAAAGCACGAACATTCAATGCTTTTAACTAATGCCAGTCCAAGTGGCACCTTGGTTCCAACATCGAGCATTTTGACCTCAATCATACATGGTGGATGTGAATAACAAGATAAATCCCTGCAACCACAGGCACATGTGCACAACTGAAGAATCTGTTCCTTACCTGAAGGGGGCCAATCAAGAAGAGTGGAACTTATCAGCTCTGCACACCACAGTCCATCTGTCAGACCCAGAAGTCTATAGCACTCCAACAACTGAAATGAGGTTTCTAAAGGCTTTGAAATTAGATCCTGAGACAAAGTCAACATTTTGATTACTTTATTGAGCAATATATCATTTTAGTTTCTTTTCACTGTTGTTGATACAATGGCCTGATGTGCCATGGTGGAGTCATGATCTCCGCACAATGTTTGTGGAGTCTATAGTGCCCTGCACTGGGGGAAGCTAGCTTTGTTGCCAAAGCCAAATGCAGGATGGCAGCACTTGTGTCGTGAAGGGGAAATGAGATGAAGCGGTGTGATTTGATACAAATTGCATCAGCAACAGCCTTGATACATTTATAGGTTGAGAATTGATGGATCTCATATAGAGAGTGAATCCTTGGAAGCAGTTGGTTGTATAAAAAATTAACTGATCTGTCTCTTTAATGGCCAATGGGAGAGGATGGCCACACACACCTTCAGATTACAAGTCCTGCTCCAGCAGATGACGCAGTTCTATAATGGTGTCCCAGGACATCCTCAGTTTATGGCAACACTGTGATTCATTTGTCTGGAGGAAGTGGTATGGATGAAGGTAGACTCTGGGCATCCTATACTTCCTCTATCTCCTAAGGGGACATCCACAATGATTTCCTCATATGGAAGCTGTTTAGTAGCCAATAGAGATTGCTGCGGGTCCTGGGATTACTGAATCATTTGTTGTTCCTCAGTTCCTCTCAATTTTCATGTTGGCAAAGACTTGAAGTTCAAGGTGAGAGGAAGTCAGCTCCACACCCTTGTGGAGCCTATAAGACCTTTGATTTTCTTTGTGAATTGTGGAATGCATGTGACACTTTAAAGTTGCCCGTGGTTATTTCTGCTTCACAGAGATGACTATGATCGATTTGTAATGACCAGTAACATGGTCAAGCTTTCTTGTGGCCAGGATTTTATATACAACATGCAGAAGTCTGTGATTAAGGGTATCTTTAACTCATATTGCGTAAGTGCTTGATTAATGCAATTGTCCCTTGACGGGCCTCATTGCTTAAAATAGAGCTTCCTCAGAAACAATTACTCCACATATTCCATGTGTGGTGGCAACCATTTTTTATTTCCATTGTGCACTCGCAATTTGTATGAAGTTGGAAGGCAACACAGGTCACACTTCACAAAGTAAGTCACAGGCTGTTAATCTAGGTGACTCTCCCCATCAAAAAATAATCTTCATGTTCCTTTCTTCTGATCCTGGGCCCACAGCGCAATTGGATTATGATGCATTCTCCTCTGTCGAATCCAGGGTGGTGGTGACAGTCCTGCAGTAGCCCATGTCCTCCAGTGCTCTATCATCTCCCATCCTTTTATACAAGCTGCCCCTCTTTACCCCATTATTGTCTCCTCTGCATTTTAGCATGATGCCTTCAATCCCCACAATTGACTTCAACTTCCTCGCCACAATAATGCTCCCGATATTCTCATTAGTCTTTGAGTGAATAGACCCCCAGAACTGGCCATGGCCCACCACCCAACAGACTTTAAACTACAGGCCTGTCTGATGAGTGATTAGACCTCTGGCTGATCTCTGTGAACTCCCCAGCTGACACATTAATCCCTGAACTGGTTGCATTTGACCTGCAGGGCTGACTGTGGACCACTTCTCAGTCTGTAATGATCTGGAACTGTTGAGCACTCCAAGCAACCAACTAAATGTGCCCAATTCTTAGACTGAGATCAAACAATGCTCTTGACTGACAGTGGCAGTACCGACTGACAACAGTCCTCCTGAGGACTATTCCCCTTAAACGTTGAGTCACGGCCATTTGGTTGAAATTACAAGTCCTGCTCCAGCAGATGACACAGTTCTATGATGGTGTCCCAGGACATCCTCAGTTTGTGGCAACATGTGATTCATTTGTCTGGAGGAAGTGGTATAGACGAAGGTAGACTCTGGGCATCCTATAATTTTCACTACGTGTTGCATAAGTTGCTGGCAAATACTGCAGGTGTGACATTGATAAAGCATGGTATCTTACTGTTGACTGATCATTGCTGACAACCACAATAAACTGAGATAACAAGGTGCAGAGCTGAATGAACACAGCAGGCCAAGCAGCATCAGAAGAGCAGGAAGGCTGACGTTTCGGGCCTAGACCCTTCTTCAGAACCACAATAAACTGCCTGGCTTTGTGTCTGCACTAAAAGGAAAGGTGAGACAGAATTACTGTGAACTCTGATTGATGCAGCAATGCTCAAAAAGGCAAAAGAAAGCAAAGATAAACATTCAAGTAAATGCAAAATGAGTGAGCACTAAGACAGCAAGTGAGAAGCTCTTAGTTGCATGAGATGGGTGTCCCTATGAGTTTGGCAGTAGCGTTGTAAGGTGCTGGGTTCCACTGTGTAATATTGAAGTGGTGAACTCTATTATAGTGAGTCGCTTGTACACCAGGATAATGTGGTGACTTAATGCATATCCAATGCCAACTTCTAAGAATGGGGTTGGGAATTGGAAATCTGGGTGTTCAGGCGGTCACTGTCCATGGACTGTGCCTGAGATGTTGGAGAATGCTAATTGAGATAGACACCTGAGGGGCAAACAGAGATCTGCACCCGCCAGGTACTTGAGCAGATTTTTATATTAAGAATTGTTGCTATCTAGCTTCTCTCCATTGCCTGAGAAGTTAACAAACTGCATCTAAATGAGATGAGGTTCAGAAATAATGAAGTGTAACTGAATGTAAATAGGCTGCTCAGTAGTGAGATTCCCAACGTTTTCTCTTGGCATCAAGAATTTCAATTTTTGATCTCATCATTTTGTCTTCACTCACCATTGCTACAGTATTTAGGGGCTGTGTGGATTTCCCCCCAACTCTGATGCTGCCTGGCCTGCTGTGTTCCTCCAGCTCCACACTTTGTTAATTCAATTCAGTATAGCTCTAAATAGGAAAATGGACAAAATGGAGGACTAAGATTGAGATGGAGGAAGAATTGGTGTGCTTAAACTTGAACTTAGGAATGTTTGATACTAAACTGGAAACTTAAAGCCCTCCACACCTCGACATTAATATCAATTATTTTGTTAGGCTGATAATGCAACAAAAATGTGGAAACTAGTTACATATTCAGAGCAGTGATATGCATAGATATCAGAGATAGTAAGAACTGCTGATGCTGGAGTCTGAGATAACACAATGTGGAGCTGGATGAACACAGCAGGCCAGGCAGCAGCAGAGGAGCAGGAAAGCTGACGTTTCAGGTCAGGACCCTTTTTCTGAAGAAGGATCCCAACCTGAAACATCAGCTTTCCTGCTCCTCTGATGCTGCTTGGCCTGCTGTGTTCCTCCAGTTCCATACTGTGTTATCTATGCATAGATATGATAGTTTTGGTACTATTACCAATCTATTTCTTATGGCAGAGCATAGGACTAACTGTGGTGCTCTGGTGAAGAATGTATGGTGAAGTATGGAGATTATTGGATTAGAAAGCATGAATGTAAAGCAGTCTACATCGTGAAGTTTTACACTTTGTTCTTAGTTTTATGTTTCAATTATGAATGGAAAGAATTAGAGCATATCAAGTTTAAAATGTTGCTTTCTAATTCAAACAATTTTGATTGAGAAATCCAATCTGCTACTGTAAAGTTGTATGTGCATTGTACTACTGCTCACTATTAGATCAATTTGCTGCCGTTATCCTGTCTGTGTATAGTCATAAAGGGATTGTTTAGTCTAGTGTAATGGAGGAAAGCTACCTGATAGTCTTAAGAGAAGAGGCTCTTGTCTTAAACAAGATGTAGTTTATTGCATGATAGCAACTAGGTACACATTACATTGACATGTTAAACATTGTTAGAGATGATGAGAAAGGTCTAGATGTTATGTCTCACTCCTTTAAGATCCTAAGTTGTTCCCCCGCCATGCCTAAATGACACCATCAGAGTGGTGGGTGCATCTCTGCATTAACACTTTCAGACTCTTACATCCTTCTACAACAAACATGGAAAAAATTGACAATAAGTTGTGAAAATAAATTACAAAGTAGATATTACATATATATACACACATATTGTAAGAAGATATTGCTCACTTTACTATGAATAAGAAATAGCACAGCTACAGTGGTGAGTTGAAGGAACCGATTATCTCAGTCGGATAGATGGCTAGCATGTGTATCAAGATGATGCCAACAGCAGAGATATGTTTCCTACTCTGGCTGAGGTAAATATGGGACCTGTCTCTTCACCCTGCCACTGAGAGCTAAAGGTCAACTGATAAAGATTGCCAAGAAAATGGCTCATTTGGCCTTCATTGCGAGAGTTTTGAGTACAGGAGCAGGGATATGTTGTTGCAGTTGTACAGGACCTTGGTGAGACTACACCTGGACTATTGTGTGCAGTTTTGCTATCTTTTTCTGAGGAAAGATGCTCTTGCGCTCAAGGGAGTGCAGTGGAGGTTAAACAGACTGATTGTGGGGACAGCAGGTCTGACATATGAGGAGAGATTGACTAGGTTGGGAATGTTTTTGCTAGAGTTCAAACGAATGAGGTGGGGCAAATCTCATAGAGACTTATAAAATTCCAACAGGACTGGACAGAGTAGCTGTAGGGAAGATGTTCCCAATAGTGGTTGTGTCCAGAACCAGGGGTCACAGAATGAGGATTTGGGGTAGACAATTTAGGACGGAGATGAGGAGACATTTCTTCACCCAAAGAGTATGAATTCATTACCACAGGAAGTAGTTGATGCCAAAACACTGAATGTATTCAAGAGGCGACTAGATATAGCACTTGGGGCAAATGGGATCAAAGGTTATGGGGAGGAAACAGGATTAGGCTATTGAGTTGGACGATCAGCCATGACCGTGATGAATGGCG